GAAACTGAATAGTCAATTTTTGTCTTAAGGTTAGCTTGTCAGCCTCTTTAATTAGCATAATTGCATAATAATAATTATAATTATAATTATATGTATGAAACTATATGTCTTTTAATGTAATTTGGTATCAAAAGGATATCTTTTAATAACTCTTTGCTTTTTTATAGAAAATATTATATTTTGAAAATGACCATTGTAAACATGTCACAATAAAATATTTAGAATTTAACCCTTTGATGATAACCAATTAAACATTTTATAACAACATATTTAGTGATGTTTATTGGGGGTATATCTTTTTATAAGCCTATGAAAACTATTGGGGCTCTCCTTAGTGAACAAAGACCAGAATAAATTTTTTTGAGCAGCTGTCTTTTTTATTTATTAACAGAAATTTATTTAAACCTAAAAGTTTATATTTAATTATCTTGACAATTTTTTTAAACTTGTAAAATCAGGTTGTAGAAATTAACAATTTATTTGTATCTTTGACATCATTTTGATCAAAAATAGAATCAGACAAGCATTTTTAAACAATTGGACAGATATAGACAAACATATAAGACAGTTAATGACACTAGAGTACATTTAAATATATTTGGCCAATTGAATTATAACATTTCTTTTTATTAAGAATAGTCAAAACTTTTGTAGGTCAATTAACCAAGATCTCCCATAGAATTAAAATTAGAAGGAATGAAAGCTCTTTATGCCTGTAAATATAAATCTTTTATAACAAACTTGAAACCAACAAGCAAACATAATTTTTGATAAATTATTTTGTGCACTTTTTTGACATATTTAAGCCTTTTAGTCTTGTTTATCTTTTTATTTTTTAATAAGACAAACAAAAATTTTTATATTAAAAGTATATCTTTTTATTTATAGCTTTTTAAATATTTTTATTGTAATTTTATTATAAAACTTTTATATATGATAAACTTGTCTTTAGCTGTTAAAATTTTAAAGTGTCTCTTTTTTGTTTGTTTTTAGATTGTTATAATTTAAAATTTGGCTGTCAATAGAACAGTATTAACTTTCAGTTTTTTTATTAACAAAGTATAGAAAAGAGCAAGTTAACCCTATAATTATAATTTAATAATTTGCATTATATAAGAAGTGTTTTAAGCCCACCAATTAAACTTAACACAAATTGAAACAAAGACATATTTATCAAATAATTTGTAATTTGATTTTTTTTTAATTTTTTGTAAAACCTCTTGATGTCTGGTAGAGAGCAGTTGCTGTTTTTCTGGCTCTACTTTGGATTTTAGACCTTTGTAGGCAGCATCAGGCTGATAACAAAGTGTTAGCCCTGGGGCTCTTAAAGCCTGGAATTTTAAAACAATTTTGTTGTATTTTTTTAGCTGTTTTTAATCTATCAAAGATTTATTTTTTATTTTAGTTTTTTTTAATCTGAGTGTAAGCCCTGTTTTATTATTATTTTTTTTTTTAGTCTAATCATGGTTTTTTATCTGCACCCTCCAGTACAGTAAGGCCAAGCAGGGTTTTTTGTTTTGTTTTGTTTTTTATGTTTTTGTCTCTACCTCTTTTATATCTGTGATCTTAGCAATTCAAGCAGAGGGGGAGGCAGCTTGACCTCCTCCAAAGGGGCAAGTCTGCCATATGAAAATTAGCAGATTTTGCAAGCAGTTGTTTTAAGATTAAAACTAAACAGTTATTATTAGCAACTGATTGCTGTGGAGCAGAAGCTTGAGCAGCTCTCAGGCTGGGTTCTTTAGGCCCCAAAACAGAGCATACAAGGCTCTAAGTTGTCAAAGTCTTAGTTAAAAACAAAGGTAGACAACTTTTTTTTGCCTAGAGATTTTTTTGGGGGGCCAAATCTGGCTTAGTTGAGGCCATGATAACTCACAAAGCTTTCTGAGTGTCTTTTGGTCTTAATTTTATTTTATAGTTTTTTATATAGCCTTTATCAAACTTTTGAATCATCTACTCAAGAACAGTTGATTTAGTATTTGCATTTTTTATGATTATTAGATATTTTTTTGTCCTGTGATGCAAGACAAACAAAGGGTGATTATCACTCATACCCTTCCAATCTGGCCGTGGAGTCTCTCAACCATTATCAGCCACTTCAGAACTAAGGGACACTGTCACATTAGTGTTCTGTTTTGTTTATATTAGCTGCTGGCCACAGAATCATGGAAACAGGCCACACAGAAGCTCTGTGACTCAGGGAGGGATCTTTAAGAATAAATGCCCCCTCCCTTTGTCTTGGTGTACACACAAGGCTACTGCTTGCTTTTGTAGCTCATTTTATTTATTTTTTTAACTGAATCTTTCATATATATAATCACATAAGAGGTTAACACATTTTTGGGAGTCCTTATAAAGCACAACATAAAACACAATAATGAATTGAGAATATATAAATGAAACCCTCACAAAAGGCAAAGAGTGTAGGGTGATTAGGCCTTTATATTTTTCCTAAATTGAGGATATAAATCCTCACAAATGGCAGAGAAGGGAGGGTAATCAGGTCTCTAATCTGTAACCTGCCCAAATGTTTAATTAAGAACCAAAACAAAGCAAGACAAAGTAGGGAGCTGCCCAGGGGGTTTCACCATTTAGATGGATGATTTTATTTATCTGCCCTTTTTTTTTTGCTGTCTCTGTTTTCAGTTTGAGTGATCTGCTGCCAGCAAGCTGGCCTCTGAGTCTTAGAAAGGGAACCCAGGAAATCTCGAGGCCATGTCTCTTCCCTTCTGAGGAGGTGGACAGTTGCTCCCTATGGTGGGATTTGGGTCATGGCCCAACATGGGCCATGTCAGTTAAGCCTTTTTTTCCTGGCCAACACACCAAATGTTGCGGAAAGAATTGGTAAATGACACATATAGAGAAGCAGCATGGAAGTAAAAAAAAATAATTGCACTAAGAGCAGTGCCAGAGATGGACCTACTTTTTAAATAAGTTTTATAGCTATAATCTCATTAAAATAATTATATTTTATTTTCTCAGTTTACATTATCTATATATAAATTATAAAAACAAGACAGTTAACTTTAACCCAAACATAACAATTCCTTATAGTTAAAAAGTTTACCTTAAAATTTGTCTAGCTATCTATTTTAATACACAAAAAGGGGGTGTTTAAGGTTAAAGCCAAATGTCCCACAATGCCTCTGATAGCTGTTAATTTTAAATTAAACAAAACAGACTGCTGTTAAAAACAATTCAGTTTATATTTTTAATATTTTATGTTTTTAAATTATTTACAAAAGTTTTCTGCATCAGAAAAATGTTAGTATTTGTAGCTCTGTTGTATCACACAGGTATAAAGATATATAAAAGCTATCCTGTAGCCTTCATTCTTTCATGCTGTTTGAAGTTACAATTTAACGAATTAAGCACTTGGTTATGGAAAGAATCCTGGTCTGAGAATGTACAAGCTCAAGTTGCAAGTTTTAGGGCTGGGCTATATTATAACCTTGTAGTCTAACTTTGAGCAAGTTTCTTATCTGTATGGTCACATTCCATCTTATTATATGGTCCTGAAATTTCTTTCCAATTCTGACATGGCATATTTTTGAAAGACTTGTTCTATCAGATGTTTTTTCAGAACATCTATGAATTGCCCCTCTTATAAAATAACTTAAGGTCATTTATTTATGGCTATCAAATATCTATACTTCCATTCCTTCCAAAAGATAACGGAAGACCACCTTCCTAGAGCTTTTTTGCTCTTGATTGTTGCTGTTAATATAATATCACAGTACTGTAGTTTGGCAGTATGAAATCTACACAAGAAATTAGAGATTACCTTAATATTCAAAACAATAATAACCATAGATTATTGAGCCTAACCAGATTCTCACACTGAAATTACTTGTTTGTGTTATATAAAAAGGTCATGAAGTAAAGCAAAACAATATCTTTAGACTAGCCAACCCTCCAATAATTAGTGCATCTGAGACAAGAGTTCCAATAAGTGATCAGTTTAAAAGTATATTAATAACAAATATTATTTAACCATTTTTTACATCACAGTATTTGCAGATTCAAAGTGGTAATATTGTGAGTTTGTTTCTGTAAATTATATTATTGTGGTATTTCCAAAAGATCAATATAGAAAAGTATGTGCCTTCTTAAATGGTTTTAGTTATAGTTCTTCGCAAGTTAAAAAAAAGTTTGGGAAAATTCTACCCAGTGTACAAATTATCTGGATGACACTGAACAAGTAATTTACCCTCTTAGGGATTCAACTTCTTTAACTATAAAAATGAGGGGGTTGGATTTGATGGCCTCTAAGGTTCAATCTAAAATTTAATCTAAAGTTAATCTAAATATAAGATTTTATAACTGTCCATGATTTTTAAGCAGTTATACCTAGAGCTATTTAGCAGAGAAAATGGAAGAATGTGAAAGCTCTTTAGATCTTGGCAAAGAAAGAAAAGACCATTCATCAGAAAATTGGGTCAAGTTAGAGAGCAAAGAGTGTAGTTGCCTGAGTAACTCAAGTTTAAAGACAAATTGTTACAGGCTAAGGAAATTGTTCATAAGCTAAGGAGAAAGAAAAGAATCAAAAGTTCTGGGTATGGGGAAAAATGAGAATGAAGATGTCATGTAAAGGTACAATATCCCAATGATAAATGTAACTGTATTATGTACTAAAAAGTACCAATAAACTCAATGAAAAAAAAATTCTGTGTTTTCCGTTTGCTCATCTGTAATAGGAATCCTAACAAAACTTTCCTTATCTTTGTTAAACAAAATGTGTAATAAAATAAAGAAAAATACATAAAACACCCAATTTTTTTTTGTTAGCATTGGTTGTTTCCAGTGATGTCTTTCCTTTGTTTATTAATCAAAATCTGAAAGTTTGAAAACCAACTCTCCACAGCACTTCACTGGCTACCCCCAGAATGCTAATTTTCTCTCTCTCAGTATTAGAAAGCCCTGTCTTAGTTCTTTCAGTCTGCTACAAGAAAAGACATAAATAGAATGGCTGATAAACATAAATTTATTTCTTACATTTCTGGAGACTGGAAAGTCCAAGATCAGTATGTTGGCAGATTTGGTGTCTGGCGATGCCCACTTTCTGGTTCACAGAAGGTGCCATGTCACTAGGTCTTCACATGGTAGGGGAGAGGAAGTTCTCCATTATAACAGCACTAGACTCATTCAGGAGGGCTCTGCTACTTCTCGACCTACCCACCTCCCCACTTCTTAAAACCATCCACGTGGGAATGGGAACTTAAGTATGATTTTGCAGGGACACAAACATTTAGACCATAATATAGCCCTGAAGTTCTACAAGTATGATTTATGTTACAGCTGAGGTCAAAAGCTGGTGTCAAGCTCCCGAATGCTGTTATTGATAACCAAAGTGAGTCATTCAACTTTGTTCTGAAACTAAATCATGATACAGCCAAACCAAACCACTTGGTTCAACTACTCAAAAATGTTCAACTGGAAGCTCCAGACAAACTACTCTGAGAAGATGTAGCCTCCAGGAGTGACTCTTCAGCCCCTTTACTTTTCTGCTAAAAAGGAGGTAAAGAACTACAAAGTTTACCTTGGCAGTGGTTTTTTTTCTGAGTTTATATGCTTTGTAATTAACTAAAATGCAAAAAATGGCAGGCATAGAGTGGAAAAGAAACAGTGACTAAAAATTTTAGTCTGGTTAATCAGACCTAGAATAAATAAAATTAGCTGTATTTCTAATGGTTGCAACATTAATGTTTGAAAATGCAAGATATAAATATATATTATTAATGAATTTTCTACTATTTTCTATGCTCAGGAAGTCACAGAAATTCCTGAGAACTGTAATTATATTTCTGAAAGCTGACTCAATTTTTTCTGTGATGTGATTTTGCAAATCTCTTCTGATTAAACAGTTTGTTGGACACAAAGATATTGATAAACAGATACCCAATGTCTATTTTTTATGAAATCTAAAATAAAATATCAATTCTCACTTGAGAAAAATCACACAAGAACTACATCTGTTTTTATACATCTTTAACTTATAGGCATATTTGAATGCAAATAGGAAAAAAATCTAAAAGAACACATATAAATATCTTGAGAGTGGTTACCTCTGGAAAATATGCTGAAGGTGTGGAGTGGAAATAAATAAATAAATAAATATGTCATTCTCCCTGAAAAATCCCAGAGCTCAGTGGTATTTCAGAATTCATAATGTTTTAGTTTTTCTATGGATAGCCTCATGCTTATTTTGTTTATTACACAATACTCGGCAGAGTTAAGGCATCAACTAGTAATTAAACATACAGTATTTCTGCAGGAACCCTAGAATGTCCACATTAGGTGTGACAAGTTTTTGATGGCCACAGTGAGTTCGGTTCTCATTTTCCACTGATGCAGAAATCTTTCCTCTGCCCTTCTTTATCTTTTACTGGCCTCTCTCTACCTTCTCTATAATCCCAGAAAATTGACCCCACATTCTAATGCCCCCAGGCTTCTGTTGGGATACAGGCAGTGGGGAGTCCATCAAACTCTTTGGTAAGGTTGGGATAACTTCCTTGCCTGAAGGATTGCTCTTAGGAAATCATATTCTCACAACTCATGTTCCTTCTGTGTTACAAGAACAGGCCCCTCCTCTCATTTCCTAGGAGTCAAAACAGCTCTGTGGCTTCTAGTGCCAAGATACAGGTCCCACAGTTACACTGCTATCCCTTCTGCCAGTACTATCTCCTAGGGTTTTTCTCCATGCCACCCACACCTTGGTAAGTAGTCTATTAAATCCTCCTCCAGGCAATCACAGTTGGCGAATGCCACCTGTTTCCTGCACACCAGTGAGTTCAGATTAAAGCAGACTAAAGCACTCATTCTGGTTTTCTTGTCTGATAAGTATAGCTTTCAGCATTCAAAACTTTCAAATTTCAGGATGATAAGTAAGGTCTAGTGAATGCATACACTGTGTTGTTTCTTCATTTTAACAAACACTATTCTCTCCACTTGAACTGCCCTTCCTGTCCTTGTCCACCTGGCTAACCTCAGTTTAGCCTTTAAATATCACCTGTCCAGTGAACTTCAAGAGGAAATCACACTGACCAGTTCTCTGTGGACAGTCTGCTACCCACGACTTGCACATGTGTAAGGTCCCTGGAACAGCCTTGGAAAAAAATGTGTGATAATGGAGCTGGAAGGGTAAAGCACACCCAGTGAAGTAACGGCACTGCTACATATGTTAAAGACATATTGAGTGAAAGGTTTAAAATGTTTTCATATTGTTGTATGACTCAAGAAGATAGTAGATAAATACAATCAAAAGTGACTAAGATTCATTGGCTTTTAAACTTTTTGATTTACCTCCTCACACCAACAGATTATCAATGAACAAAGACTTCTGAAAAATGTTCATTCTTACCGTGTACAAGGTACTCAGTCATTTTTCTAGATTATTCTGGTCCACATCTCTTTTTGAAAATACTGAACATATCCCAGGAATGAATCACACCATGCCTAGTAGGGAAGACACCGAACGATCACGCTTGCAAGTGTTGCCGCAGGGTCAGAATGCTAACTAAAGTTCACTTTTTGCTTTGTTGTTTCACTACCAATTATATTTTTCTTGTTTTTTTCTTCTCACTTTTGGTGATTTGTTCTGAGCAGGGGCAGAAATTCCTGTCCTGAAGTTAGATGACATCTGGCTGGAACCACAGGATGTGTGCTGAGACAGAAACCAGAGCAGCTGGCAATCTGGGAGTTGGGACTGTCTTCACCAATTTTGGATATTTGGTCACCTCATCTGAGATTACATGAAACTCACATTTTTTAGTCTCTCTGAAGGCAGTTTTTATTGTGCAATTTTAAAAGAATTTTTGTGTTGTTTAATGATCTGAGTTAATTTTAAACAAGGATTTATGAAATGTGAGCTTCTGTCAGAAAAATGAGGATCAATTGTTGCTTACAGGAAATACTAATGCTTTTAATAATAGATACTAATAAGAAGCCTATATTTCTTCTAAATTAAAAAAAGTAAATCAAAATATGGTCTGGGTTGGGTGTTTGGTGCTCATGAAAATTAAATTGTAATGACCTAAGAAAAAAATTTTCCTTAACTAGAATCTTGCTTGAAGCAAGCGGATATTCATTTCAATGTCCTTAGAGAAAGATATTCATTATATGATATCATATCATTTATGAGGAACATTGGCTGCATCTGATAGAGATCCAAAACAGGGACAGCTTAAATAAGATATATTTACCTCTCTTATAAAAGTCTAGAAGTGGGCAAAGCAGAGCTGGCCTCCTGCATGATGTCAAAGAATCAAGATCCTTTTCTGCTGCACATGACTGGAATTTCTACAATGCATAAAATATCTGGACAATTGGAAGGAGAAAAGGAGAAGTAATTGCATTTCCCTTTCCTTTAAGACTATATTCAGGAAGTCACACACACTACTAACCCCGATATCCCATTAAACAGAATATAATCATGCAGGTGCTTTTATCTATATGTAAGGCTGGGCAATGAAGTTCTTATACCAGGAAGCTACTGTATGTGCCCAGGTACAAAGTGGAAGTTTTCTTACAAAAGATGATGGAAAAAGTAGATTTGCAGAGAAATGAAAACTTTCTCTCAACCTAGATTAAAGAACTGTCAAACTCATTTGTACCTCTAGGCTTAATTTCCACAGCCTTCTTAAACCTTCGTTGGTCTCCACCTCTTTCTCCTCTTTCCCTTCCTTCTTCTCCTCTTACTCTTCTTTTTCTTCCTATAATTTAGTCAAAGGGAATTACAAACAAAAAACAAAAAACAGTTCCTTCCCTTTTTAAGTTAATTACTTTGTCCCTACAGAACAGAGGCAGACCATGTCACAAGAGCTTGTAGATTGCTGCATTCAGAGCCAATTGAACTCTAAATATGAGGCTGGAAAACAGGATCTAGCCAGGAATCAGGGAAAGGAAAAGCTGAGGAGGTGCTCTACAAGTGTATTACCATAGTTTCTAGAAGCAGCTAGTTCTACACTGACATGCTCACATCAAAATTCTTATCTCCTAAATTCCATCTCCAAATGCAATGCCACGTGCCTAGGTTTTTCGGCCAAAAATTGGAATCTGAGTCTTTGAGACTTTCTTCTTGCTCCTCACATCCAGTCAGGACCAGTTACATGATTTGAAGGTCCCAATAAAAAGTGAGAATGCAGGGCCTTTAGTTGCAAAATTATGAAGGATTTCAAGATGATTGTAGCAGAGCATCAAAACAAGTACAGTAGGCCTGGTACAGCAGCACAGGAAGGCAGGCCTGTACCCATAGACAACACATTTTGTTCATTCTACTTTGGATCCACGATTTTGTGTGTCGACTTGACTGGAACATGAAATGTGCAGACATTTGGTTACACGTGTTTGAATGCATCCACAAGAGTATTTCTGGATGAGACTAATACTTGAATAGGTCAACTGAGTAAAACAAAATCTGTCCAAAGTAGGTGAGCCATATCCAGTCAGTTGAAGGTCTGAATAAATAAAAAAGTTGACTTGTTGGAAGGAAAAGAAAACTTCACATGTCTGGCTTCTTGAACTTGGACATGTATCTTTTACTGCCTTTGGACTTAAGTTGTAATTTCAGGTTTTGTTCAGTGCTGTGCCTGTGGCTTGAAAATCAACATCAAATCTCCTGTTTTCAAGCCCTTGTTCTCAGACTAGAACTATGTTTTCTGCTCTCATGTTTTTCCAGCTCACCAACAGCATATCTTGGGACTTAGCCTCCATATTATCATAATTCCTAATATAAGTCCTCTCTTTCTTCTCCCTCTCTCTCTCTCCCTCCCCGTCCTTCCTCCCCCCCACTTCTCTCTCTTTAATACACACACACACACACACACACACACACACACACACACACACACACACATCCTTTATTGATTCTATTTCTCTGGAAAATCCCAACACATTGGAGGCCTCCAAAACATGGTGAGACAGGGTCTCGCAATGTAGTTTAGGCTAACCTTAAACTTACTATGTACCGTAGCTGGCCTCAAAGTCAAGGCAATCCTCCCGTCTCCACCTCGCTAATGATGGTGAGACCAGGAGATATAAACAGATAATTGGGTTAAAGACCTGTGTAAACTGAAATAAGCCCTTCAAAAATTGGAACACAATGGAAAGAGGCTCATTGAAGTATGCCAGGAGAAGCTGGAGGTGGGGAATGGGGAGGGGGAGTGTGTTCTAACATCAGAATCCTAGCAAAAGCACAGCAATCCATTGTTTCAAAGGGCAAGGACTTGGATAAACTGAGATATGCCCTGGGAAGCTGGAGTGCAAGAGAAGTCTGTTCTTACTTATGTCAGAAGCCTAGCTAGAAGGAGCGATTGCATTGTTTCATTTTTGCACATCCACCAAAATAGCCCAAAAAGTACACATGAACTCATGAAAATGGGAACCTCCTCAGTGTCCTCCTTTGCAGTCCCACTTAGTGAGTGAGAGCTTTTTTTTTTGTTGTTCTTTCTAACAAACTACATTTGGTTTGTTCCCTTCTGCTGTGTCCTTGACTTCACACTTTATCATCTCCAGGACAAGAGCACAGAAAGGGGAGAGAATTAGTAACACGAGATTACAGGTGTGTGCCACCACATCTGGCTAATATTTTACACTGGTACACTTCTATCTCTATGACAACATCTCTGGATCTGTAGCTCTAGACTCACAGTACTGATTTTAAGAAGTGTACCTGCTTCCATTTTTGCTTCTCCTTCCAACGGCTTTCAATCAGAGAAGCAAAACCACAAAGGATAGTCCTAGAAGATAGACATATACAACAAACATATAAATAGATAATACAAATATATAAAAATCTGAACATTCTGTACAATAAAATGTAAGTATATCACATATTTACTATATTAGATAGGTAACATATTTATATAAAATATTTAAATATATAATTATACATATATTGATAGTTTTATATAAATTTGTGTTTTTGAATTTAGGATAGAAGTTGGATCTTAAACAACTATAGAAACTCATTAGCTGTGTACCTGGAGTCAGAGTCTGGAAGCAATGACGGATGTGAAGACAGGGCTACAACACCAATTGAACCTGTGTGGATAGACTGGAATTACAGCCAGAGCCGTCCCACACCAACATTCCTAGGGTATGTATCTCAGATGTGAAGCTGATCTCCTTAACTAATTTGATAAAATATAAGTCTATATCCTTCAATTAATGCCAACACAACAGCAAGAAAATTCATCTAAACATATAAAGACAGAACATTTTCCTTCTTCAAACCTTCCAAGTACTTCCCATTGCATTTAGAAAAATATCCAAACTCTTATCTGTGATTTACAAGGCTGCCCAGGATTTGATCCCTTCTCTGAGCTCTTTGCATTTGATACTACCTTTTCCTAGCTTACAATTTTGAGCCACTGGCTTCCTCCCTGTTCCTAAACAAAACAGCCTTTGTGTGAGCTATAACACTCTTGGCTCTGATCAGTCTGTCACTGGGAAGCTGAGTCTTGACACTGCAAGGAGCCAGCATTCGCTCCTCTGTTCTCTGTGCACTTAGTGAGAGAATTTGGTAAAGACACATAGGCAGCCATGCTAGAGCATGAGCAGAATTTGTTATACAGCATAAATATGGATATTTATGCCTTCAAGTGAGAAAGCAGGCAGTGTGATGTAAGCATCTGCCCCAAGTGCAAGTTTGAATATTTTCTTTATGCATACAAGAATTAATAATGGGGCTCAGGAAACTGTGATGATGATGATGATGATCCTTGTCAACAATGTTCTTAGAGGCTACTTTGAAACTGCAAAATGTTTTCCTTGTTCTTTCCAGATGGTCAGTGCTCCTTGGGGGTGTTAAACATGCAAGAAACGGGGGTCAGGGATGTAGCTCAATGGCATCTGCCTCCCTTGCAAGCACAAGGTCCTGAGTTTGATCCCCAGTGCAAAAAAAAAAAAAAGTAAGAAATTTACCAAAGAAATTCATGAAGGAAAAAGGTCTAATCTAAATCAGTCTCAGCTGAGGTGGAAGGGTTGTTTAAAAAATCACTCCCCTTTTTTATATCATCGAGCATAGTCCATAGCAACCAAGTGTACTCTATACCTGTTTTGGAAATAGACTGCCCAGTGTCATGTTACTGGGTTTTGGGAATGCTGGAGTTTCCTTCTTGAGGTGGTTTCTAGGTTCTTTCTGTCCTCATCAAAGAATTGGTCAAGACAAGTGCAAACAGTAGCAAAGTTTTATTAAAGGTAGGAAAAGAAACTGGCTTTGCAGAGCAAGTTTGGGCCAAGGAAAAGGAGGAAAATAAGTACATCCTACAGCCAAAGACCAGGCCATTTGTCATTCTCATTGATGGGACAAAATACCTGACATCCAAAGTTAAAGGAGGAAAGTTTATTTTTGACAGTTTGTAGGGATTTCAGTCCATAATCAGCTGGCTCCAAGGCAGGCTAACGGGGCCGAGGAGAATCACTGAGGAGAAACAGTTCATGGCAGGCAGAAGGTAGCAAGTAGTGAAGTAGTGAAGCAGCAAATGACAAGAGCAGTTCCCTTTCTGTCCCTCATACTCCATCCAGGCTACCAGTCCTTAGGGCAGGTAGCACTAACATCCAAGGTGGGTGTCTTAATTACTTTTCTTTCTGCTGAGACAAAACACCTACCACCCAAAGTTAAAGGATGAAAAGTTTATTTGGCTTATAGTTTGTAGAGGTTTTAGTCCAAAGTTAGCTGGCTCCAGGGCAGAGTGGCATGTGACAGAAGGAATCACAGAAGAGAAACAATTTATTGTAGACAGAAGACATCAAAAGCAAGCAAGGGGTAACCACAGCACTTTCTATCCCTTATATCTTATCCAGGCTACTTAGAACAGTAGCATTCATAACCGTTAATCTTAGTGCCCTTGACCCCAATATTGCACTATGAATCAATGTCAGCATCATGGACTCTGGATCCAGCCACTTCTGAAAAAGCCCCATATATGACTGCATGAGGCTTTGGGGGGACATTTAGGCACAAGCCATAACAGTGGGGGACCTTTAATCCTAGTATTACACCACGAATCAATCCCAGTATCACATTCTTAATCCCAGCATCACACACTCTAGATCCAGCCACCTCTTAAAAGCTCCACCTCCAACCACATGAGGCTTTGAGAGGACATTTAGATACAATCCATAACACCATCGATGCAAGGGAGAACACAGTGGCAAAAACTCAATGGTGACCATCCTTCTTGTGTCACCCAGTCCTCAGGCTGATGTCAGATCTAGGCCATCCTATGGAAAATCTGCTTGAAGTCCATGTATAGCACTTTGGGAACTGTTCTGCACACGTCCCAGGATTTTGTAATTAACAGACCACACTTACTTCCCCAGCCAGCTTTGACATGCCCTAATCTCCTGTCTCATTTCCCCCTGAAAGACACATATCCTCAGAATTCTTCAAGAAATCCTAAGGGAGCAAAAGTCTTTGTTTTCTACAGCTTCTTCTGGCTGGAATGGGCTTTAGACTCTTCTTACTGGGGATTATGAGCTCTCCAACTACCTTGAGATGTTATGGCTCACTGGCCAAGTTGAGGAAAAAAAAAAACTTTCAAAAGACAATGAGAAAAGAATTCAACAGTCCAACTGTCTGTTCTGTGGGAGGAAAAAAAAAGTAACTTTACTATTATGTTGGAGATATAGAACCCAAATTTAAGGAGCAGATGAAATTTCCACAATTCTTATAGAAGACAATGTATGGCAAAAAGAGGTTAGATAATTATCAAGAGGCACAGCCTTATCAAGATTACCACATAATGGATCTAATTAAAAATGGAAGCCTCAATATAGCTTCCCATTTAAACTGTAGTGAATCAGGGTCATTCATTAGTGATGCTGCTTACAGTAATATCTCACTTCATGAATTCTTATTTATAGAACAATTCAGTTTGGAAACAGAAGCATTAGGCAAAATTTTGCTTCCATTCTTGAACTCCACATTATGCAGCTCATATGACCAAAGCCATCCTCTCCACATGTACATGTATGTGGCCATCTTCCCCCAAATCATGGAACAAATTAAGTTCATGAACTGAGGTACCACTGCATCTGTACCTAGAGAAATACTGGAATCTTGCTTTTTGAAGAGGAGTCTCAAGTTTTCCAGATGTTCTCAGGAAAAGCTTTCTTCTTAATCTTGTGAAAATTCTAGTGACCATTTCCCACGTAGGATTTTTATAGATTTGTCACTGCATACCTTGAAAAAGGACCACAGTGGTTCCTCAAGGACTGAAAATAAGTCTAGGGTCTTGAGGGCCAGGAGAGCTACTCTTCTTGTCTCCCTATCAGCTTTCTAATTTTCTAAGAAGACTTTAGACATGTGTCTTTGGGATTCTTTATAATGCATGACAGCAACTTGCTTGGGAAAATAAATTACCTCTAAAAGTTGTATAATTTCTTTTTTGTATTTTATATGTGATTGCTTATAATCAATAAGCTCATTCTTTCCAGATTGCTGCATGGACATGTAGCACCAGGAAAGCGTATCTGGAGTCTGTATAGCTCTATAGCTTCTTGCCTTTTCCTAATATCAATGCCTAAGTAAGGGCTACTAGCTCTGCCTTTTGAACAGAGGCTCCTAGGGGAAGAAGGTTAGCTTCAATGACACTTACATAACCTGCCTTTCAATATCCTTCTTGGACAAAGCTGCTGCTTCCATCAGTGAACCACACCTCTTCAGAGGTTTGGAGAAGCAGGTCATTAATATACTGCCTGCTTGCATTGGTCTGAGAGATGACTTGTTCAAAAGAATGGCTAACTTCTGGGTCTGTATATATCAAAGAGGCAGGATTAAGAGTATTGCAAGTTTTTATAATAGCAACAGGAATTTCTAAGAGCATGGCCTGAAATTTAGCCAGCCATTTCACTATTAAGCACAAGTAACCTTTGCTCTAGAATTGCTCTAACCTGATGGAGCATCTGTACTTCTAGAGTCTGTATTAACATTAGTTTTGCAGCTTCCTCTGTTAGCATAGCTGTAGCGGCTACTGACCTCAGGCACTGAAAAAATGATACCATGGAGGATGGTTCCAGGATTGGTTCCTGGTAGAGATTCCAGATTCTTGTGCACAATAAGCAAAGAACGGTAAATTATACACAATGGTAAAAGAAAAAGGTGATACATTTATTGAAGTTAATGGGGGAAGTTACACGCAGAGCAAGCAGGTTTGTGTCCGCAGAAAAAACAAAAAGGTGGCACAAATAGGGACAGAGGTGGTGCCAGGGCATCAGGGAGAAAAAGAACGAATATAAGTCAGGCTTCTGTATTTGAAAAAATGTGTGTTCACCTAGAGCACTTCTCTTTTGGCCTCTCTGGATATGAGTGAATAAATGACTAAGATGATTGATAAAATTCTGAGTCACCCCAATGGTATCTGATGCCCATGACTTTCCCCACATTTGACTCTAATTATATGTACGATATATAGCCCATATGTATGAATGCTTAATGAATTTTGAGTGAGGAAGGATCATTGCAGGTCAAGCCTCTGTATAACATGCAAGTGCTCTGGCCTGGAGCTTTGGGAATTTCGTAAATCTTTATTATTCTTATTTCTGCCTCTCAGAACAAGGGAAGGAGGGTTGGCTCTGTGGTGTTGCCCTAGTTAAACAGAGGAGGAGTGATCCCAAGGTCTCAGTTGTGCTATCTAGACTAGAAATATAGCTAAGTAAAAAGTTGCCAGCTCCTGGTAAGGATGAGGAGACTATGGACTATCTGCAGAAGTCATTCCTATGTGTGAACTATTGC